TTGATAGGCCTAAATGCATGACAGGCGATGAGGCTTAACTTTAGGTCTACCTTGATAAGAATGGTGATTTCACACAAAAAAAATCACCCCTCAATTTGATTTTACCATGTTAACAAAATAAATTTGAGAGAGATTTCCCACTTGCTCTTCATCCTCATCCTCTTCTTCCTGCAAATCTGCTCCAGTATAGTTTGTCTAATGGCAGCCACATATTGCATGTTGATGATCCCAAATATAAATGCATTGGATCTGTTCAGTTGTCAACCAAAACAGTATAAGAAATAACTGCAGTGTCCCTTAAAATGGCCCACAATGCGTGCTATCCCGTTATATTTTGTTGCCTGCATTATCTCCATGCTGTTGAGCTGCACTGTATTTCTTACTCAGTCTCTGAAAATATTTCTAGGCTATATATATATATATATATATATATATATATATAAATTATTTTATTATTTCAAATTATTTCTTTATTATATTCCGAAATGTCTACTTTGATTACATGGTTTTAATGTTTGACGGTATTTTCACGCTATTTATTATTGGGGTCAAGAAGACATTTTTGGACATAGGCCTACTGTGGAAAGTTGTTCATAGTTCAGCGCCTTTGTAGCTATCTGACAGCTGTAGACACGATAAATAATGCTCTACTTAATACGAACGATCTAAGTTCAGAAAAAAAGGGTTATTCCATACGTTAATCCGTCGACTTTTCGTAGCTTGTCTGCATGCTGTTGTGCGATTTGAAGGTTTTCCTCCTGTGGTTTCCAATTCACCATTAATTAAAACAGGGACCTAAATCTACAAATAACTACATATAAATGCATTTTTGCGAGACTAATGCATTCGCCTGAAGTCAGTACAGTACCAAAAAGGTTCAATCATAGCCTACTATCGTTAAGGTGACGCATTAATATGCCTAACAATAGATTGACACGTTTTTGCATCTCTGTATTTTGTATGCAGAGAAATGAGAACAGACTTTTAAATGCGGATGAAAAAGCCGAAAAATGTAATGCTGTTAAATCTGTCAATGAAGTAATGCAGGTGAAGACCATAACACGGGATCGTTTAAGTCTCAGCAGTGTCACCGCTGCTGTCACCCGCGTTTTACCTTTGACCCATTGATATTTGTGTGTTTAGTGAATGGGCTGGGGTGGGGTTAGGAGGCTTCAAGCCGAGTTACAGGATTTGTCAGCTGTACAATAGGCTACAATGCACTGGACCAAGGCTACAAAAATGAAGTAGCCTAAATTCCCGTCGCACTAAGTTGTGTGCCATACTAAGAAGTTGTGACTAAATTTAGGCTACTCCAGACTTGCATCAATTTAAGAATGGAAACTCTCAGGGCTTTCCTTCGTTAATAATAAAAGGAGAATCTAAGATTATTTAATTTGTAACGTAAATTATTTGAAGGGTGATGATTTTGTAATTGCTCATTAGTCTTGTATATTTATCGCTGTACCTTATGGCAAGGCCGCGGGAATTGTGAGGGGGGTTCATTCTCCCATTACAAGGATCAGTTTCAAAAGCAATTTGTGAAACTGGATAGATTCTGTTTGTCGTGACGTCACATTTCAGTTCTGGCTATAAATATCACCTCAAACCAGCTTCAGTGGCCAGTTGCATGGAACGCGGCACTCTGGAAATAGAGTAGCTATAAAGCAGAAGCCTGCAAATAATTTCGGATCGTGCGGGACCTTCGATCAAAAGACATCTATTATGTTTCTGCCAACTGTCAATAAATTGAAGTGGAACTAGAACGGAGGACATTCTGCACAATAATCTCCATCACACTTTAAAAAAAAAAAAAAATTAAGGGTAATCTTACATCAATACGGTGACATACGTTGCTATAATGCATGTAGTGTATTTTTAATCAAGGCATAGGCCTAACTTTATTTTGCACACGAGTCCAGACTGTCCAACGTAGCCTACTGTAAAACTGCCTTTTAGTAGGATCAGCGGACGTAATTAAAGCTAGTAATTGCAGATTAGAGGTTTTGGGTCATTGGGGTTATTTGATAGGAGGTTGTTTTAAATGACGGGTAATTATTTAACATCACTCGTAGGCTATGGAGCAGGTTTTTCACCTGGGTTGAAAACCCAGACCTCAATTTCAGAAACCACTGCAAGCATTTGGAAGCTACACCAACTTTTTTCCCCTCACTGTATGATGAATTATGGCAATGGCCCTCTGTGATTGATCGTTTTCCCTGTGCATAAGCGTGGCGTTGTTGAACGTTTAAGTTCATGTTGCTTCTGAAGCAAGTTATCGCAGCACGGGGTAACCTAAGCGGGTTAGAAGGTTCTCAATACAGCGAGTTCCATGGCCCTTATGCTTGTTTAGAAAAGCAAATCTATTAATAGGCCTAGCCAAGGTCGAAGTCATAGTCCACCGCTCACTGTTTGCAAATAATGATTTTTTTTTTTTTTTTTGTGGGTAGAAAATATTTAAATAATTTAAACACAAGAGTTTTTTCATTTTAATAATGTGTTTGTCACATGATTGAATTGAACACATACTTTAAAATCAGGCTAATGTAAGTAGCCTTGCCTACTTCGGTTCTCAAATGCCCTTGCATTTTTGCTCTTTACTGGGCACACTCAGGTCCTTTAAAATTAATTTAATCTTCGCAACTCAAATAACGTTAACAAATACTAAAAATATTCTAAGCCTGTTCTATTTGGCGAAATCGGCAATGCAAAATTAATAAATGGGAACGAGCGGTAACGAGGGGGTGTCCTGTCTTTTGAGGCACAACGGAGGGAGAAAGTGCGCCAAATTTGTTTGCAGCGGATCAAGGCTCACCGCCTTCACTGCACTTTCTTTATCTTAATTCCAACTTGAAAAGATATAATTATCTAGTTTGAACAGGGCTGCTATCAAATCCTTCTTTAGGCAGGGTAGGGAACAGCTCGAGTGGATTGTGGGCTCTGAGCCGCTCGGTGTTGCCCGAGATAGGAGTAATGAAGTTGTGGAGTCCGGAGATACAAAGGGCATTAACCTCATTAGCATGAAACCTTTTCTTCTAACTATTGTGGGACCCTTTCAGCCTTCTAATCCCTCTATTTCAAAGCTGGGTTTGTAATAAAGCTTTTAGGGGTTTTTCAAAGCTAATAGTATTCTCCGCAGATTTTTTTTATTACCGTTATAGTCCAAAAACTGTTCAAAAATCCCCTTGTGTATGTGTAGCCCAATGACAATTTTAACCTTATCAAACTACGATTAAAAGTTTTGGGGACAACACGAAAACGCTCAGCAATGGTCTTTCTTGGGATTTCGGAATATTTTGTCACGCTTGCTAAATAAAATAATAGTAGCCTACTACTTATTTCATGCAATTTTATTTATAAAATTACGATTATTTAAGGATAATGTGCTTTTTAAATGGATGCAAAATAGATGAATTGACGTAGGCTATTTTACATACAACTATAAAATTCATATTTGCATTCTATAGTCTGTTATTCATAAAAAACAAGAACTGAGAACGAAGGCTAGATACATTCCAGCCGTTGCTGCCGACAAGATTTTAAACAAAGCTCCTATTTTGCGGCACATTGCAAACCTTCTCTTATCGCGTTGTGAGAGGTAGTCAGATTGTACTAAATTATGTCCAACCAGGCCCCCTTGGATCCACGGATTAACAGATTAAAGTGGACCACTGTTCAATGCATCCCCTTTCCCCCACATATTACTCGTATGATAATTGCCTAAACTGATTTGCACTTTCACAAAAGCTCGCAGGACTCTTTGTAGCTTGAACAGACCAGACGCTGCTCTTCTACCAATGGAAATAAAACTGGTTAATGCCAGTCTATCAGACTGAGCGGCAAATGAGGCAAGAAAAAAACAAGCACTTCGCTGTGGAAAAATCGAGCTCAAGACCGTTGTAAGCATTCTATTTGTGTTACATTTTAACCAGTCCATTTCCCCGTTACATTCTTTATACGCTCAGATTAATTAGACAGCTGGTGGAATATTCCATTGATAAAATAGTGATAATTACGATACCTCGCCTGTTTGTCCTGAAGGACAATGACCAAGGGACCGAATCGAAAGAACACAACTGCCAGTGCAACCCATACAATACTGTCCAATAATAATTTTCTAAAAAAGGATGCATCCTAAACCATTCACTATACCGGACAAAAGTTTCATTTTGGCCTCTTTTTGTAAAACAAAAAGGCTGTAATTTTATTCTGAGCAACATATTGATAAAACTTTATTGACAAAATATTGACAATTACATACTTCTTGGAAGTATACTTTGTGTTAAAATTGTAGCAAACTTAACACAAACACAAAATTATTTACATTCTTGTAAAAGACGATTTAACATAAACATTAGCTTTTAGTATCTCTATACATGGAATACGCTCAGTGCTTGAAGTTTTGTTGCCTAGGCGAACGTCAGTTCTTGCATTAATCCTTCGAGGCAACTCTTTAGAGGAGGGGCGAGTCCCGATCACATATTCGCACCAAGATTACGGAGTCAAGGTAAAGCTTCATTTTTAAGGAATGTCATGGAGATTTTTTCATTAGAATTACTATTGTATGTGGTAAACTTGAATAAAGTTTTTATAATCTGGTTTTAAAAATTTGGTTTACTTCTTAAAAACACTATAACGCAGCACTGCTACTTCATATTGTTTTCAAAAAAAAAAAAAAAAAAAAAAAAAAGGGAAGAAGCACACAACATTTCATTTCTCAGATTAAAAATAGAATCAAAACAAATTTACTCTGAAAAAAGAAGGTCAAATTAATTCATTAACCTACCAAAAATTCATTGCTCTACCATGCAATTCAAGTTTGACAAAAACAGTTGTATATTTTGGTATCTTGATGTGGAAGGTTCACGTATTGAAAAAATAAAACGAGAGGAAAAAACCCTCAGAAGTGCAAATGTCCTATGCGCATTTGAGCTATGTGTTGTGATAGTGGTGATGCGGGTATGGG